CTTCCCAAGAGGCTTGCAAACTTTCCGATATCTGTGCACAGCAATTATTAAGAGGATAAAAAGAGAACAGAAAGTTGTAAAAGCTGCGAAAAACCACCAAGCTTTGCACAAATCTGTGTTATTAAACTGTGATTGCATCATGTTAAGAGCAATTCCAAATGAAGCGCATACAAAAGAAGCCCACAAATCGGCGAAGGCCAGAAATGGGATAAAATACCTTTCTTCTTTGTTTCCTTTCATTTTGAATCCATAAACTAGAATTACAATAGAATTTCCCACCAGTCCTGTAATAATGTACAGAGACAGAATCACATTATTCGGGGTTAAACCTCTGGCCAGCTCACTATTCCACATTTCCAATTTCTCTGATAAATATGTGTCGTTATCCATTTCTCGTTCTTTGTTTCTAATGAGAGCTTCCTGGTTCAAGGTAATTTATTCGATTTAGTTATTTATTGTCATGCATCGTTTGCATTGTGTTTGTCACGTGCAGTCATTCTAGAATACGGCAGGGTTTTCCATCACATAATAAGGGAGATATTCAGTGTATATAAGGCCTTATTGTGCGTGACGTACACAAGCAAATCATTGGGTTAAAATACTTGCGCCTGATTAAAACGTTTTTTACCTACCGATCTTCAGTGTACTTTTTATTTCGTATTCTGCATCACCCTTTGAGCAGAAAAAGAAATAAAAATGAAAATCGTAAAGAGAAAACAAGTTTCTGATGTTAACAATTGGTAAAGAGAGAGAGAGAGAGAGAGAGAGAGAGAGAGAAGTTTGATGTTTGAAAACACAATTCTTTTTTATGAAAAAGGGCACTAATAATAGAGGTCTTTACATAAAGCACAAACTTCCTTCTAATTGATTCTTAAGGAATAAAAACGACTCTTTACTCCGGCGTATTTCATGAAGCGAGTAAGCTCTTAAAGATAAATATGCTGAGATGAAGCGAAAATATTGTCGTTACGTTCTAAACCTTCACCATCATTTTAATTACTGCTTTGTTACTTAGCTTTTCTTGTCGCGATTTACAATAACTTTTTTTGAAAGCTTCCTTACCCTTTATTTGTTTAACAAAATGGCTAACATTCCATGAGACCCCTTATCAATTGATCGAATTATCAATTGGCATTAATAAGAGTAAAGCCCATTAGGTAATTTTCACTCCTTGACCATAACAAGGGTGAATTTAGTAACAATGCTGTTAATCTGATATGTTGATTTTATTGTAAATCTATAGGATGTCGCCATTTCATCTCATCTCTGTGTGACACTTATTTCTTCTTGTGTTTAATTTGTTTTACTCAAATTTGTTAATCAGTTGGAGAAGGATCGTCGTGCCGTCAGGACCTAAACTATAGTCGGAAAGAAATACGTATTAAATCTAGAAAATATCCAAAGTTGTTTTGAACATCTTTATTCCTGCCTTTAGTAAAATGGTTTCCCCTTATCAAAAACATTGAAGCATTAGGATACGAAGCGCCATACGCCTAGTTGGAAATACGTTACTTTAATTGTCATGTACTCATTATATGAATTTCTAATACATGTAATTCAACAAGCATTCTGAGAGTATTGCATTAGCAATACTAGTCCCCTACTGGCAAGTGTAATCTGGTTCCTATTAAAAATTGAAAATGCTGTAATTCCGTCAAAAAATCATTGAAGCGGAACATAATGCAAACTTGATCTGTAACTCATCAAGATACCCCCACATACCAAAAATCAGCTCAATATCTGCAAGCGTTTAGAAAAAAAGTGCGGAAAACCCTTAAAAATTAAAAAAGCCGTAATTCCTCTAAAAAATCTATGAAACGAAATGAAATTCAAACTTGATCTGTAACTCATTAATATACACTTACATACCAAAAATCAGCTCAATATCTGCCAGAATTTAGAAAAAAAAAAGTGCGGAAAACCAAGTGGGACAGACAGACAGAGGGACAGACAGACAGACGGACGGACAGACTCAGAGGAAACCTATAGTCCCCTCCGGTTTTACCGGTAGGGGACTAATAATTAGTAAACTACAATATCGTATATTATTTCTCTGATGAGTTGCCACACATTATGTCATTCAACTGTTAATTTAAAAACAAAACAGTTTGCATTATAGTTTTGACGTCAATCACTGTTTTATGACGAAACAGTAGAGATGTTCATGCTCATCCACGGCACTTCATGAGACAATGTTTCGTCTACCTGATCTATACATAGGGCTCACGGCGGAGGTGACCAGTCAACAGTAGATGCTTACTCCTGCGAGGCACCTGATCTCACCTCTGGAATTTCCAGGGGTCCGTATTTTATGCCCTCTTCAGGATTTGTATTGTTTATAGATTTTTTGGGGGATCGATAACTGTTCGTTATCTTCACCCTTTTCCGTTAATACTTGAATCTCACTCTGTTAGAATTCTTTCCGCGATTTTCTTCCATCATCGTTACAGATTGGTAGTGTAAACAAAGCAGACGCAGAAGTAGAAGTGGATACGCAAAGCATTATGGATTATCTTTGAAAGATATACAACACTTCAATGGATTGTCAACTTTATAATTATAATGATAAATTAAGAAATGAGTCTTTAAAAGGGTATTGTACAACACAATTTAATTGGGTTAATTAATTAATGATTTTAATGATGCATTAGGCTTAATTACACATTTTGAAAATGGCCGATGCTTGAATGGCCAACGATTCTTCGTATTCAGGTATTTGACAAAGAACCCAAAAAAGCACTAAAAACCAACAACACTATATCCTAAAAGTGTCGAATCTACCAAGTAGATACAAGGTCACGGATGGAAATTTATATGAAGTACTAAGAAATGACCAACGACACGTACAATAAAAATTGTTAAATTTTCGGGACGCCCTGTCCTTTCCTCAGGACAAAGAAAAAAAGTTAAGAAGTCATAAAAAACAAAGGAAACAAAGAAACAAAATCCAACTAGCACTACTACTAAACTACCAAACACTAAATATTTACAGTGTTATACGTTTAATTTGGAGTTTATAACCAGTTGTAAAGAAAGAAATCCGGACCGCTTTGAAATACGTCCGGTCTGTCGGGTGTAATCTGGTGAAGTGCGATTTACATAATTGAACGATTTAATTATCGCTTATAAATTAGGACTAAGCAGTAAGTCGTACACTGTCTTATTCTCTCAAAATAGCGTAACTATACATGATAAAAAGAAACCAAAGAAAAATAATATGGAAGGGAAATTTACCATATGAATTTGGATGTAACATAATTAAATTTGGAAATGTTTTAGGTCTGTTCTTTTTTATGAAAGAAATAATAAACAAAAATGTAAGCAATAAATCTCTGTGTGGGTGTTCCAAAATCGATCCTGCGAATTAACATTAAAGTTTACAATATATAGAGAGAATGAACTTGTTTGTTACAATCAGGAATTGGGTCTAGTTCATGTTCATCCTGGTGAAGTCATTTAGTTTGTTAACACCATTAGGGCGGAATGACAAATTCCAAAATGATAAACAAATGAATCTGACCACTACCTAAATTTCTGTATTCTCTATTGAGTCGTCTTTTTGTGTCACTCTCAAGAACAGGGGTCTCAGACTTTTAGCAATCTCCAGAAGCGGCTTATGTCAAACTTCAAAATCATCATCAATATTACAAGCAACTTTTATATACGTTTTATTTTCTGAAAGATACATTTAAACAGATATACATTTTTTTTAAAAATCAGGACACAATTTTATAAATTTGTGGATAAAACCGATTCAACAATTTTATCACTTGTCATAAGTGGGCTTGACCAGAATATCTGATACTATGCTCTATTCAAATATTGTAAACAATGCTTTTAATGATATGTATATCAATCAGCCCGGAAATTATACACACACTTACACGAAAATACATGTTTAAGTAAATGATGATTGGAAAATATAGTCTCACTCCTTAACTGTACGAAAGATAAGTAATGACTAGCGTTCTCCTCGCCTATTAAAGTACTGAGTATTTCCTTCCGTATATCTAAAGTTCCTCGTTCGTTGAGTTCAAATGAATTTAGACTCTTCAATAAGTCCTCCTTTGGACAATTTTTGTTTTGATTAGAAGTTAACTTGCAAAAAGTAGTGACGTTCCGGTCGTGGGACAGATACGAGGATGCACCAACATTTCTCCTTGTTCTATTTTATCGCATTATATTTTCGTGTATATTACATACAATTTTAAAAACAATATAGCTTCAAAATTTTCTGGACTTTTATATCATTATCCTTTTCCATACAGCTGTCATTTAAACAACAATCGATACTGAATCAACGAATATGCAAGGAATCGCATCTATCCAATCCGACCTTACCCCCAATTTTAAAAATTTCCTTGATGAAATTCCGATTATGAGATAGAGGGCATAATGTAGTTTGTGTCATGACAATATATCTTATAATGAAAGTTGTCTGATTCCAGTATAAGAAAAAGGAAACACCAGAGCAAGCTTCTTTTTTCGTTGAGTTTTAATTGTATACGATGAAAGTTAATTCTATTTGTTAAGTAAATCTTTACTTTGACTGAATGTCTGAGGACAAAAGGGATTGTAAAACACCTCATTGGTACACCTGACAAATTGCATCACACTTGGTGATAAACATGAATTTAGGAACATCTTCATTTAAAACACTTCCAAAGATATAAACATACAACAAGAACTAATGCAAGCAAAGAATTTATTACTTATTTTGTTCAAATATATAATCAATAAATGCGTGCGAAGGTAAAGGAATAACAAAATTAATTTCACATCATTTTACTAATTTGATAATAAAAAGGTTGTGATTTCTTTAACGACAATCTGACTTTAAGATACTTTTTAAAAAGCATATTTTTATATAAGCAAAATAAAAAATTCATATATGGAAGAAAGTCAAATTCTTAATTTGAAACATAAAAGATAATGAAATTAAAATTTCAAACAGAAAACATGTCTATTAATAAATAAGATAAAAAATTAATACTTCATGATATTGTCCTTCTACAGTATATATAAACTAAACATAAGAAAGAGACTTAATTAAGAAAACAATTTGAAATAAAAACAACAATGTCAAGGTTTGCATAATGTTACTCTAGCATCTGCAGGATTTAAAGAAATTCTTAATCTCTTTTGCAAACATATTGTCTAGGAAAGCATATATAAATGGATTAGTAATATTGTTTATTATATACATTCTGTACACAAACAAGACTCCAGCTCTAGCAGAATCTGAGAATTCCTCCCAAAATTTGGGATTCCTGGCTTCTAGCAACATAATAATGACTTTTGGAATGTAGCAGATGAGGAAAATGACTGTAATTAGCATAAACATTAGAGTAAATTTGTAGACAACTCTACGGTTGTCTTTCTCCTTCCTTTTCTTTGCACTTGACTTGTGAGGATTTGTTTTTCTAACAACGGCTGAATTGATTGTAAGGGTCGTTATTCTAGCTGCTGTAAAAGAGGTTGGAGCAGACTGAGCACCGGATAGTTCGGTGTCTTCCGTCCTGTTTTCTGTCTCACTCAGGGGGTCATCACTACTTGAGACTCCAACTTGGGAATGTTTAGACTTGCTGTTTTTTTCTGTCGCCGAACTTTCTTTTTTCTTTGTATATTTGAAATGCACAAGAATGGTATATCCTATTTTTGAATAAAGACAGATAAGCGTAACAATGATTGTTACTGCTGTAATGACTATGACGCCTCCAAAAATCAAGGACCCCGTTTTGTTTGTTGTCTTCAGCCTGCTGCATCTTAACCCTACAATCCCTTCTTCATTATTTGGAAATGATACTGAACCATAGAAATGAGTCATGGGCACAGATAGAATAAACGCTAATGCCAAGGCTATACACATGGCAACTCTTTTCCATTTTAATGTCATTTGTTTGCCAAGAGGCTTGCAAACCTTGCGATATCTATGTACAGCTATTATCGTGAGAATAAAAATAGAACAAAAAGTTGTAAAAGCTGCAAAGAACCACCAAGCTTTGCACAAATCTGTGTTATTAAACTGTGCTTGCATCATGTTAAGAGCAATTCCAAATGAAGCGCACACAAAAGAAGCCCACAAATCGGCGAAGGCAAGAAATGGAATAAAATACCTTTCTTCTTTGTTTCCTTTCATTTTAAATCCATAAACTAGGATTACAATAGAATTTCCCACCAGTCCTGTAATAATGTACAGAGACAGGATCACATTATTCGGGGTTAAACCTCTGGCCAGATCACTATTCCACTTTTCTAGTTTCTCTGATAAAAATGTGTTGTTATCCATTTCTCGTTTTTTGTTTATAATGAGAGCTTCCTGGTTCAAAGTAATTTATTCTATTTAGTTATCCATTGTCATGCATCGTTTGCCTTGTGTTTGTCACGTGCAGTCACTCAATAGTTTATACAGTGGAGTCTTCCATCAAATAAAATATATATGTATGTAGCTCATTGAGATATTAGGTTTGCATAATTATTTAAATGATACAACCAAGCAATTGCACTGAATAAATTTGTTTTCTGATCAAAGCTTTTTTTTTTCTTCTAGAAATTGACATTGAAAGCGTACCTTTTTATTCAATTTTAAGAAAGAGAGTATAAAACGTCAAATGCAAAAAAAAAAGTTTCTGATGTTAGACATTTTCATTAGTTTCAAACTACATGTATTCAATATATTCATTAAAGATAAACAAGTTGGTGAGAGAGATTGAACAAAGAGGTGTGGTGTTTAATGGTTGAAAGCCCCGATATCGCTTTTTATATAAAAGAACTCTAATATGCTGTTAACGACCAGAAGTCATTACATAATGTACAAACGCCCTTCTAAATTATTCTTCAGAAATGGAGTAAGTATACTGCTCCTTTGTTTAATATCAGTTTACTTTTCTGTGTTAAGAAGATCAGAGGCAAGAAATGTTTCGAAGTCCATATCAGGCAATTAATTATCTTGACAATTCTTCTCTATATTACACATTGTAAAGAACAGAGGTTTACATGTTTATTCCCGCGTGCATTTAACTAAATCTATTTTATTACACATGAACTTTAATTATGCACATATTTCCTACACACTTATATGTCTTCGTCTTAAAGATTTGGTAAACATAAATTATAACTTGAACACTGTTCTTCTAACAACATGTTTTTTCTTTTTTTTACCGACAACATGATGCAAAGATTAAGCAAGGACCTAGTCTTAGGAATATCAGTTTGCAAACCCGTGTGACAATGAAAAATACACAATTCGCAATGTTTATACCAGGTGACATGGCCAATTGTTTTGACAGTCTATGAAGAATAACTGTCAAGAAGCAGTCAACATTATATTCCACCAGCATGCTAATGTCCTAGCAATGTCCCACTTTGATACGGTGTGTCCTTACATGTACTTTGTTCTCTATCTGGAAAGATTCCACGGGAGAATTTGACAATTAAAAATGAAATATTAAAGTGTTTTATATACTTTTGTATTTTGAATAGATGGATTCTTTGGTGTGATATTTAATTTCCAATTCCTATGTTGATAATGCTTTCTAAGTTGAGATAAAAGAAAGTGTTAACCCTAAAACGCACTCTAAAGTAAGAAAATCTTTGTATAATGTTATAAAATAACCATTATTACGTTCCTTTTGAAAATCGGACCTAAGTTTTTAAATCTGAAGTCAAAATTTTAGTTTTCATAGTATAAAGGTAAAAAAGGTTAAAATCAGAAAGGGTAGGTAATAAGGCTGAATACATATGACTACAATTACTTAGTTGCAAAGTGGAACTTTGTTTCATTTTAGTTCGAGAATCGTTTTCTTACAAATAATTTCCTTCTTCCTTTTATAGTACTGTCATCAGAGTTTTACTTCTGGTGATTTTAAATGGTAACAAGGAAATTATTGAAATTCAAAGAAGAATACATATAAGGAACATAGCTTAAATACTTGTCAGATTTTGTCTTTCACATGTATGCTTCATATTTTTTGCGCTTTAATTTTTCTTCCTTGTTTACATAATATAGCATTGGTGGTTGAAAAAGCTAATGTGGTGCATCCGTTAAATAATTTTAGTACGCTTTCTCCGATATTCAAGCTATGAAGCGGATAGTTTGCAAAAATACCTTGTTCAAATGAGAGAAAAAAACTATTTTTAAAGCAAACCTAATTTCTTTAAAGAATTCCTTTCAGAATATAGGATTCCTTGACAATCATGCACAATAGTTCTGCATTTGGCTTCCTCATTTCTCCGCTTTGCACTTGCATTATACAATTTTGCTTTTTTCCTTCGGTTCTTTTATCATTTTATTTTAAGCTTTTTGCGTTGTCTTGGTTGATTAATTAGTAGTCATATTAGATAGTCAGAGTTGTCCAGTCTTTAAGAATTTATTTGTATTTCCTGTAGGGGGCGGTCTCACTTGAGAATGTTCCATGCTGCCGTTTTCACTTTTAATCCTAGTAAGGTTGTCCTTCTAAAGCTGTTAATATTGTTTACAATGTGAAAGAATAGTATATCCAATTATGAAGAGATGAATAACTAAAGTAACAATGATTGCAAGTGGTGTGAGGACAAGGGAAAATCCGATTATTATATACATATGGACTTTTGCGAGAAGCACTGACTTTTACATTCGACGGCTTACTTTGACATTTAAACGCGTTATGTACGGAGGTACGGAAATGATATTAGATTAGAAAACCTTACTAGTGGTCATAGGTATGGTGTTAGGGGCACTTACATGATTTACTTGTATGCAATCAACACAAGCGATGATGGGAAGTAGAATAACTAACTTAAAATACCTTATTCGTGAGGGATAGTATTTCCTTTCAATCTCATTTTATGAAGGAATTAAATAAGGAAGAAAAAACATTCCGGAATGAAAATTTGGCAGTAGTTGGTCAAATGGGAAGGGAGGGGGGTTAGTATAGGGTGTTTATCCTTCCCCTCCCTAGACAACGTGATATGTGCTTTGAAATGCCCAATTATTATAGTTGAATGAATTGTTAAGCTAAATATTTATATCGCAAAATAGCTGCCGTATATTGTCCCAGTGTAAAAGTAAGTCGTTGCTTGTAAAAGTCAGCGCTTCTTGCAAAAGTCCTATTGTGTACTTTTCTTTTATATTGCATTGTATAACATCTACCCCCTACGAGTACACATAAGGAAGATACTAGATACTACTTGTATATAAGGTATAGATGATAAAAAGCTTTTGTTTAATCCAAATTCTATCTGCTCCCTTCCATCTGTTTTTGTAGGTATTCAAATTGAAAGATATTTAAGATTTAAAATTAAATATCTTGTATTTATTCTTACTACTTTTTATCTTTTTAGAATCTTAAAAAATATTAAATCAGAAGGCAGTTTGAATATCTCAACGAACAGAAACATTATGTATTGCCAGACTGAATTTATATGACAGTGCTATTTGTCATTCACAATACAAAACTGTCTTTAATTTAAAACAAGCAATTCAAAGAATTGCGGTCCCCCGCTTTAGGTGTCTTAGTGGATGGGATGCCATTACTTATGGCATATTGTAACTGTCTTGTTTGTGTGTCCTGTCTTGTCTGTGCATTATACAAGACAAGACATAAATTATTAAATTAATAACAGTTATGGAAAAGATTATAACTTCTCAAAACTACATCAAACTTCAAGGTCATGAGGTCAAATATAATAATAAAATCCGAAAGGTCTTGCCACAAGTTATGCACATGTGAAAAAAATATTTAAAAAAAAACAGTGTATACAATCGAAAAGGCCTTGAAACGGGTAATGCACAGGTCAAATGTAGATGCCATATCTTCTCTAAATCAAAAATTATTAGCAGTGTTAAAATTTTTGAAAAGTAGGTCAAACTTCAAGGTGAAGGTCATGGGATTAAAAATCATGGTACATTTGAAAATGCTTGTCACGGGCAATGCACGTGTCAAATATGAATGCCACATCTTCGCTTTTTCAAAAGTTAGCAACAATGTTGCAATGTTTGATAAATAGGTCAAACTTGAAGGTCAACGTCAAGGTGTCAAATATCATAGCACATTCGGAAACATTTTGACACAGGTAATGCACTTGTCAAATATGAAAGCCCTATCATATGTACATGTCATTCAAAAGAAATCACCAAAGTTAAAATTTCTAAAAATTAGATCAAACATGAAGGTCAAGGTCAAGGGTAAAAAAAATCATAGCATGCTCAGAAACACCTTCTCACCGGTAATCAATCGAGTTATAAGCAAAGATATAAATTTCAAAAAAGTAGATCAAACTTCAAGGTCATGGGGCAAGGAGGTAAAAAAAACCATATGTTTGGAAAGGTCATGTCAGAGGTAATGCAAATATGTCACAGGTAATATAATTTGAAATATGAGACACCTTTATTTTCTCATTCAAATGTTATGACCAATTTAAAGTAATTAATGTTAAAATTTTTGAAGAGTAGGTCAATTTTCAAGGTCAAGGTCAAGGGTCAAAACTCACAGTGTATTTGAAAAGGTCTTGTCACAGATAATGTACATGTGAAATATATAAGCCCTATCTCTTCTCATTCAAAAGGTATGACCAAGGTTAAAGTTTTTGTAACAGACAGACTGACAGACAGACGAATGAGATTTAATGTCCCCTCGCTTTCGCGAAAGCGGGGGGGGGGGGGGGGGGGAATTGTTCTCTGCTTCATCTGTATTATTACTTATTTTTTCAAATCCGCAACAAATATTTTTTTTACATAATTCAAAGTAACGAAAAAAGAAAAAAGATCATAATTGCATGCACGTCTTTAAATTCAACGAACCAGTCTTATTCTATTTTATTATATCTGACAGACTTCAGAATAGCTTATTAGAATTTATATGCTTGCATCGTCATATCCACTGCATGTGTACAAAGATTAGAATATATTTCTTTGAAAAAAAAAAAGCAAACAAACAAGAAAACATTTCAAGTAAACGCATAGGTTATATAAGGACTTATCGCATAATCTTTCAAAAAACATAATTTTATGAAAAAATATTATCTACAACCTTGTTATTAAAATATTGAATACAATAACGTTGTTGATAGCACATTTTAAGAGATATTGAGAGCTGAAATTCAAATACGGCAATAGGCATATTTCAATCGGATTTCTGCTTTGTCGTCATAGGCGACAATTCAGTGATAGAGAGATGAGAATTTGCACACTATTAACGGAGTAATCAACGACAAATGCAGCTTAATTACGAAAAATGCTGAAAAAATTAATACCTAACGTGCTTTTCAATTACTAAAGATACATTAACTAGTTTGATATTATGTTAAAAACGAAGAATAAAAAGTTATATAATGTTAAATTTGTGAATCAAATAACTTAACACATCTGATAATATGACAAATCAAATTGTATTGTGAAGGCGAGTTTCATATCTTTGTCGCGCCTCCCTTACTATCGTCGCTGCTATATTTACAATGTTAACAGATTTTTCAGATTTTATCTTACTAACAATTCTAACATATAAGGTTTGATATTCAATTTCATATCGATAAAATCAGTGACTTGGTCGTCCACAACGCAGAAAAGGTGGGATCAGGTGCCATGGAGGAGTTAGCATCCCCTATCGACCGGTCACGTTTCTTGTAATGATCGGGAAATAACGAAAAAATCTGTTGAAACATCCTGAGGAATTGCACAGCTTACACGCATAAATGTTGAATAATGTTGAGAGAAAAGGAAACTGCAAAGGTCCACAGCTGCAATGAACAGAATAAGATACCTCTCCTCTTTGTTGCCTTTCATCATAAAACCGTAGATAATGAAAACTGTTGTATTAATTGTCCATCGGTCCTGTTATAATAGATAGAGATAATATCAAGTCATTAAGGATTAATTTTTCCGCCAGCTCTACATTCAATAATTCCAACTTCTCTGAAATATAAGTGTAGTTTCTAAAGACAGTTTTCTTTTTGGAAGTTATCTCTTGGTTCTTTAAGAAGCGTTTGGCGTGGAAGTGAATTGAACGTTTATGTTTTCCTACAGAGACAAATTTGGTCCCTTTTATGACTTTAGTATGACGTTATAGTTATGTGAACAAATCCAAGACTGTCGCAGCTAATGAAAATACGCAAGTGTGATAGTATGAATGGCATGTAAGTATTTTGAAGGAATGCAAAGATGCTAGGAAATCTTCAGTAGTCAACAAAATAGTACAATATCTTGATGATATGTCGTCTGAGTAATAGATGTGTTTAAAGTCTATAATATCTTTTATGAAATGACGTGTTTTCATTTTCATAGTTATTTGTTACTTATTCATATGTATTTTAATGTAAGTGTATAATTAATATCTCCCTGAAATATAAATAAAAATAAAAATTTACATTTTTGAAAAATAATTCAGTAAGTCTGAAAGTAACCACAGAACAGTGAATCAATTATTAAACCCTGTCTAAATGCAAAAAGGTCAACAGCAGAAGTATTGATAAAAACGTTTCTCTCATAAGTTTGGGGTGGGTTGGGGAAGGTCTTTATTCTAATCACTTTTTGTAGTTAATTTGGGGATGTTCTTCATCATATTAAAGATTGAAAATATTGTGACAAAGACTTTTGGAAAATATGCACAAATTTAGGGTGGTATATTGATTAAAAAATCCTTTGAGAAATACTATGCACATTTGCCTATATTTGTTGAAATGTGGGCATCATCTTTTATGCCAATTTAAAAAAAAATATTTGTTGATAATATTGCTAACTATTGTTTGGTTAGAATGTCTACAAATGACGATGTTTGAAAAAGTATTTTTGTGATTTTGTATATTCTCCTTATTACCATATATCGCTAAAATGGCTGAAAATGTGTAGCCGCACTATAAAATTATCGTTTTAAGCTGCAAGTTGTAAAGGCTGCACTACATTTAATAACAGGGAAACATGCTAATTACTTTCAATTGATTGATAGGCGAATGCTAATCAATCATTTTGAAAAGTGAAAGAGTACCTTAAAATGTATGAATTGAAATACAAAGCACAATAATACATCAAAATTTTCATTGATTTATTAAGTGAACAAAAAAACTTCCATTTTGTTTCCTTTTTTGTCTCGATATTAAAAAAAAAAGAAGGGGAAAAAACCTTGTCAGCGAGCAAAAGAAATGTTTACTTATAGATAAAAATCAGAAGGGAGCACATTACCTTAAGATAATATGTTTAGGAAAAAACAAGAGCAATTAAAAAGAAAATAAATGTTAAATATTCCTTGGAAAAATAAGGTCCATTTTTTAACATCCTGTGTATTAATCTGATCAAGATTCACACTAAGCCATATCGTTTTTGTGTGATGACGTTTATTTTATCTCATATCGATTTGTCTAGTTTTTTTTTTTATATAATTCCTTTACACTTGAGGTCATGAAATACATGGGTATGTAGATGGTGGTTAAAATATTGCAAAAGAATATTTTTATAGATTTTTACTTTATAATTTTTTATAAAAAAAATTATTCACTTTTACAACCTCATTTTTATCTCAGTGGCCATGATTTTAAGAAAATAGAATCGCCAAGAAGATGCTTACATATTCATTTGACTAGCTGTTTGTTTGCTTCTCTTAAGTTTGTTTGTTTTTTGTTTGTTTGTATGTTGTTTAACGCCCCTCTCGAGAATTTTTCACTCATATGGAGACGCCACCACTTGCCGGTGGAGAGCTGCAAATTTTGTCCTATACTCGGCACTTACAGCCATTGAGCAGTGAGGGGTCTTTTTCGTGCCAGCACCTACTGCGACACGGGGCCTCAGTTTATACGGTCTCATCCGAAGGACCGGTCTCCACGTCTCACAGTGGGATTCGAACCCGCGACGTAAGGATCAACTCCTTACTTCGCGACTCTAGAGGAGCAGACGCTCTAACCATTGCGCCATGCGGGCGACTTGCTTCTCTTAAGAAGATTTGTAAAGGTGTTTTCCTATATATTCTAATATTTAACTTTGACACCTTTTGTGGTCCTACTTCAACCCGAGAGGTTACGATTTGCACAAGCATATTTTTGAAGCACGTGAAGATAAAAGCAAATGTATGACTAATTATGGCACCATGACATTTTGTAAGAATACTTTTGATGCTTTAATTGCAGTGAATATGTTTTACTTAATTGGTAGTGTAATGAATATCACTACATATTGAAAAAGAAAACCGTAACAATTTTATCTTGAAATAAAATAGTTAGAATAATAAATGATCACCTTTATGGCATCCTTTAAAAAATACAATCGAGGAAAGGAAAAAACACTGACCCTGTTAATACCAATAGTTGGATCACGTACTTACGAGAAGTAAGCATTTATTGTTGACCGGTCACGCCCACCGTGAGCCCTTTGTATTGATCAGGTTTGCCCTTCGTGAGGCCTCAGTTGAAAACATGTAACGTCGACTAATGTAATTAGTTTCATTTGATTACTTGTCTTCATTAGATTTAAAATTGATCTTACTTAGAACATGCCTTAGCGTACCGAATCAGTTGGGAGATTGACTATTTCAATTTTTTGTTTAACAAATAATCATTACTCATATTTGTTCTATCAAAGAACGCTCTGATCACCTGACGTCTTTATCACGTTAATTATAATGAAGAACCTCTACCTTGTGTTCAGAAATAACTCATTTTAAAAATGTTTAAGGATGTTGAGTTCTTTGTTGTACAAACATATTTAAATTTATTATTTTCTATGTGTTTATACCTTGATCAACTGATAATAATAAAACCTACTTTCAAAAATTTTAAAAAGATATTCAGATATAAGTTTTTCTGAAGTCAAGTTACGTGTTGGACTTCCTCAAATCTACTTTTTTAGTGTAATAAAATGAAAATAAAACTATTGATGGTTATATTCTTATTCTTAAAACAAGGCTGTGAATCGTAGAAATCACTATTTGAACATTTCTATATATTGTAATTGTACAGTTTAAACTGGTTCTTGTGTTTATATCCCTTGGGCCTTTTTTATTTTTATTATTCCTGTATAATGATTGAGCACACAAAACCGATAATATATAGACATTAAATATGGGAATTTCTTAGAAATCCAGATATCTTAGAATAATGATTTTTATATAATAATACACAAGCGTTTCAAAAAATTATGTATTCAAATATTTTCTCAATACATGCAAAAGATGAAGATGACAAACAATGAACATAAACTCTGTAAACAATATCTATGACAAATCTTTATTTTTCTAACATATTTTTCAAATTGGATAAATCATAATAAGATTTTTTTAAACATATTATAAGTATATAAATGAGGACATGTTTTTAAAATTAAATTCGGTGTTTCTTTCTACTGACTTGCATAACTAGGACAATATAGAATCATGGAACCATCAATAAATCACAGTTGGCTATATTTTCAGAATTCATATCAACGTTCTTGTAAACGAATCAGATTTAGTAAGAATTATTTACATACCTACTAATGTTAAATGTGCAGAAATATATTGCCTTAAGTGTTAGACCATTTTTGGTTGAAGAAATTGTTGTAAAAAAAATAGCCTGTTCTTAACTTAGTCGACATGAAGGTACTTAGCATTATTCTAAATATCAGATAAACAAATACAACAAATTAGTACGGAAGTCATTGACAAAAAGAAGGCTACTTGTGAAAAGTATTTTTCAATTACCTTTCTAAACTTTCTAAAACAAACAAAAATAGATACATCATTTACAAAAATGAAAAAGCAAATTTCTCTTTCAAATTTTACACGCTATTTCAAAACGTTTAACATCAATTCCTATTTGAAAAAAAACCCAACCTTTTCTAAGTATATTTTTTATCCATCTAGTCAATTATGCACATTTGCCAAAAATGTATGACTGGAGTGATTTTTTTTATTTATAAAAATAAAGATGAACGTCTCTTTCTCTGCAGCTTTGATGAAAGATGGTAAAAATGAAAGAAAGAAAAATACATTTGTGACTACATATAATGATACATCTACATATGTCTTATACCATGGAGAAATGAGTTAGATGTGTAATTCTTTCCTCTATTCAAATCACGTGCAAACCAGTGACTGCTGATTTCTACGTCTTTTTGAATTGTAAAGGTTACAAAATTAAATATAATATATTAGCTTTTCTATGCACTTGGTTTAGTACTTGGCCATAGAAAATAAGGGCAGGTATTTTAAAGCGGGATTAAACAGAAAAATATTTCTACAGACAAGTTTAGGAAAACGGATTTTTTCATAATTATCTAAAATGTTTTCTTCGATGTATAACAGTTTACAAAGTCCTGTAACAATCAATTAATTTAATTTCTCAGATCTTTAAATACCCTTTACCGACACATTTTAATTAACTTCTTGATTTCTGTTGCAAACTTGTTGTCTAAGAATGCATAAATGAACGGATTTGTGATATTGTTTATTATGTACATTCGGTACACAAACACAACGCCAGCCCTTGCAGAATCTGAGAGTTCCTCCCAGAATTTAGGATTCCTGGCTTCTAGCAGCAAAAGGATAACCTTTGGAATATAACAGACGAAGAAAATGACGGTTATAAGCATAAACATAAGGGTAAACTTATGCACAACTGCCCTGTTTCGTTTTTGCATTTGTTGTGTTGCACTTGACATCTGATGATTTGCAGTCTCTTCAAGTGTCGTTCTTTTATTACAAATTTTCCCTGTCGTCGTTGGGGATGTTTGAGGAATAGAATAATTACCGGATAATTCTATGATGTCCGTCTTACTTGAATATGTTTTATTCTCTACTTTACTATGTGGATCACCTTGGCTCGAAATTGGATTTTGCAACTTATAGACGTCATTTGAATTTTCTTCCTCTGAGCAATTTTTCTTCTTGTTAATGGTCTTGGCATTGTTGAAATGTACCAGAATAGTATACCCTATACTGGAATACAGGATAACTAGTGAAATAATTATTATGATTGTTGCAATAAGAAGGACGCCTCCATAAATCAGGGACAGTGTTTTATTGGCAGATTTTGACGCGCTGCATCGCCACCCTACAATTCCTTCTTCAGTATTTGGAATGGACACTGATCGATAAAAATAAATCATAGGTAAAGATAATACTAGTGCTATGATCGAAGCCAAGCACATTGAAAACTGTTTCCACTTTAACGTCATTTGTTTTCCAAACGGTTTGCAGACCTTGAGATATCTGTGAACAGCGATAATTAAAAGAAATAACACGGACGTAAATGTAAAAAACGGCACTAGGGATTTCAGAACTTTACATGCAAATTCGTTTTCAAATTTCACCGGGAACACGTTGAGAGCAATTCCAAATGAAGAGCCAAGAAGACAAGTGCATAGGTCCACAGCAGCAAGGAACGGAATAAAATACCTATCTTCGTTGTCGCCTTTCATCACAAAACCGTAGATACTAATAACTGTAGAATTCCCCAACAGTCCTACTATTATATACAAAGACAAAATCACATTATCGATGATCAAACTTTCTGCTAGCTCTCTATTCCACTTTTCCAATTTCTCCAAGATAAACGTCTCGTTATCCATCTCTTTTTCCAAACTGGTTTGTTTGAAAGTTATTTTCTTGGTTTTAAAAAAAATTAAAATTGAAATTATTTTTTTTTATAACGTACATGTATATAAACCTGCATCAGTCTATCAAACGTCAAAGCTTCCTTTCCTTATATAACATCTTTTTAGTGTACCTTTTAATTTTTTGTTTTCTTTAAGTATCTTGTGATCAAAAGATATTTTTTACTTGTTTAAAAACAAAAAAAGGAAACAAATACATTAAGGTAATAGCAAAAGCAAACCATAATAGAGACAACAGATCTTTAAAATTTTTTAGAACCCTTAATACACTGCTCATTACAGAGTTCCGATTCTGTGGTATTTTAACGCAAATAGAGTAATCTGCCTTTTGACTTTTAGTAAAATAAATTGAATCTGAAGTCTATTGCTCAATTTGCAATTAACTCAAGCATTCTTAGCCCTTTAATAGGCCAATCGAAATGGACTGAACATTTCATTTGCATGCATTTTCCCCACTTCAGTAAACAACAGTTATTTCTGTTTATCAATACTTCATTGTCTTAGAACAATTTTCCTACCAGGTACCTTTGAAAATAAAATAGATAAGTTCTATATTTACACTTTTATATAATAAAGTTTTCTCAATGTCTACCGTTCACTGTAACCCTATGGTAAGGCGCTCGTTTCGTGATCGGGAGGTGCAGGGTTGATTCTCGTTCCCGACGCAGCGTCAACCCTCAGATTTAAAAACACATACAGTGTCTGTTCCTTCGCAAAGCGTTCGGCATTAGAAGTGAGAGTTACGGATCTTTCGGATGAGACCTTAAATACCGAGGTTCCGTGTCATGGTAGGCGTTAGCACGATGAAGAACTCTCACTGGTCAGTATCGAGTATTGGCCTTTCACCGGTTTATAGTGACGTACCATTCTCGCAAAGGAAGTAAAAAAAGAATCAGTCTTAGTGCCTAAAAACATTATTCTTTAGTGCATAGAGGGTCACACGAAAAAGAGAATTTTCGGTAATATTCTTTGAAAGTTATCTCTCCAATTAGAGGTTCATCAGACTTTAATATTTGTCGATTTATAAATTATTTAAAGAATCTAGGTCATTTTTGTACTCATTGTTTCTCTCAATATTCAGGTTATTATTAAAGACGCACAACCATAAAGAAGCTACGTTTTCTATTATTTTCTATTTTATGATACCTATTGGCAAAATTAGGGGGCCACGCCCTTCCTCCCCCTCAGTGTCCTCTGGTTTCTAATATTATTACACATGCTTTATAGATTCTGGGAGCAATTTTACTTCGTTTCAGGTCAGTACGTTACCTTATTAGTCGCTCGCGTGGCTCAGTGATTAGAGCGTTTGCTCCAGAGTCGCAGCGTAAGAAGTTGATCCTTACGTCGAGAGTTCAAATCCACTGTGCGACGCGGAGACCGGTCTTTTGGATGATAGCGTAAAAACCAAGGTCCCGTGTCGCAGTAGGTGCTGGCACAAAAAGATCCTTCAATCCTCAAAGGCCGAGCACAGGTCTAAATTTGCAGCCCCCACTGGCAAGTGGTGGAGTCTCAATATGAATGAAAAATTATCGAAGGGAAGTTAAATAAGCAAACAAACATTCCCTTATTACCCATTCCATGTACGCCATGTGCTTCAAATTTATCATTTTACATTTACTTTTTTCACTACATTATATTGTTTCCCGTTACACTACATTTTTCCCGTTAATAATAATTCGAACCAGTAGGTTGTCATGCCATTTTTGGGCAGGTCCTAAACACCCAAATCCTTAGTTTTTGTATAAGTTTTACCATTCTAGAAGAAATGAGTGGACTTACACCCTATTTTGGATCTTTTTGTAGTTCGTCTTCCTAGCTGTCGCTCGCTCCGTGATCGGGAGGTCGTAAGTTCGAAACTCGGCCGCGACTGACCTAAGTCGATAAAAAATGGGTAGCAACTGTTCCTTCGCCATGCGCTAGTCACTTTTTGAAGTGAAAGTTGCGGGTCCTTCGGATGAGACCTTAAAAACCGAGATCCAGTGTCACACCAGGCGTTGGCACGATAAAGGTCCCTCACTGCTCAATATTAATGGCCCTGAGTGTCGAGTAAAGGTCAAAATTTGAAGCCCTTCACCGGTATATGGTAACGTCTCTATATGAGTGAAAAATTCTCGAATGGGACGTAAAACAACACACAATCAATCAATCAATCTACCTAGCTGTAAATGAAGTGAATCCAATATATTTTACAAGCAATAGCAAGATCTACATATACATGATTATATTAGGTAGAACATTGGTACAAAAGCAATGCCTTGGTGCCATGAATCAAAATTGAAGCAACGACACATTAGTGTCGCCGCCCGGAATTTGACATGTACCCGGAGTGCATTTTTAGGACACATGATCATTATAAATAGGAGGCGGGAGCTATCGATCGGCGTCAGTGTCGACATCTCTCTCTCCTTCTCTCGCTCAAGAACTTCGAATATGTGTATGGTGTATTACAGCGACGTCAATATGAAATTAAAAGATTTTTTGTGGTAAATGTTGTGAGGACAAGGAAAAAATACATTTCATTTGCAAAATACTGAAAATGGTAGACCAACCACACACCCTCTAAGACGTGTTTTAGATCGAGGTCACGTTTAAGCAAATGATGTAATTGTTTTCACGTGTACACTCACAGCTGGTTACCACGTGATGAATTGTAATATTTAACAGGTCAATCGAGGTCAAATCAAGGTTAACACACTCATAACAATGGAAGCAACAAGTTTGTTTTCAACACGTTTTTTTTTTTTATCAAATTAAGTATGAGCGCACGATTGTCGGCTCAATATAAAGATACAGTTTTCTTAATAACAGCCGACAAACATGCGCTGACTTTGTATGAAGACGACGAAAAAAGCGTGACCCTGACTATCTATTGATATTCAAGAAATCTTCGGGCACCATGCCTTCGATAAATATTTAGGTTTCCAATAAAGGAACGTTTTAAATCAATATCTGTAGCAAGAATACACAGTTCAGACATCGGTGATCTATATAATGGAGAGAAATAAACATTTTGCAAAACTTCAATTCACAGCTTTTTTCAGGGCTCTTAAGTCCACCCATTCATTACGTGTTTTTGCAAGCAGAAATTAAAATTAAAGATGAATGTCAAGGTGATTTCATTTTTTGGTGAAATGGTATTAATTATAATTTTTTCAAAAACTTTATCTAAACTTATCAAAATTGCTGGAGATCTTGATTATTAACGTAGCTAGTGACCATGTTGTACCTATTTATATGTCTTTTAGATTTAAATTCTAATTTGAAAGTGTGGATTTTGATATTTTTATGACAATTTCAACTATACTGTCTTGTCTATTTCTTTTTAAAAAGCTACTAGGTTTTAAAAGCAAATATATTGCCACCAGAGTTTAGTTGAGATCGACCTTGATCTTGAAGGGGAAAAAAACACAAGATAAACTTTTGATGTGATCAAATGATAATTTTTGGAAGGTATTTTTTGGAGTAGTACAAAACACCCATGAAATCTGTTTTAACTCATTTCTTAGGAAGTACCTTAGGAAAAAGAATAGTATCACTATTATGTCAATAATCAGTGATCTTTTTAAGAAAATTAATAAGTTGCGACATGTTTCTCGCCATATTTGCTTTTTTAAAAAAAATATTAGAGAATCATATATATTGGTCGTTCGAGAGCCTATATTTTAGAATATGTTTATACCATCTACATGCGATATGACAGTCTGTTATTATATGCAAAGTAACTTATTTGGATATATTTATAAGGAATCTCAATTCTTTATACAGAATAAAGGTCAAGGTCATATTTAGAGGTCAAAGGTCAAATATTGTGTCGTCATCTACTAATTCTTTTAATTTTTTGCATCGAATATTTTTTTAAATCGCCGAAATATCTGAAACTGTCGGTCAATGAACCTCATTTTGACATATTTTAATCTGGGTTCTATTTCAATCATTCTGTTGATTTTTTTTTTGTTTTATTTTATTTTTTTTTTTATATAAAAATTGAATTATACATTTTCTCTTCAGAGAACTCATATTGTAGCAAACGTAAATATGTATTTTCAATTCCTGTGCATTATTCTATTTTGTTATTACATTTTACTCAAATATAGCAGTATTAATATAATTTACAAAAGTTAAGTAACAGAAAGGCGGTATTTATAAAAATCATCACACAACTTAAAAAAAACCCCACATATTCTAAAGTGCTATGTCTGATTTCAAAATCTTCTTACAGGAGGTTGATAGGCCATATTTCAAGATATATGGGCAAAAAACATTGCGGTTGAATTTCTTTCAAAATACATATTAAGAGAGATTTTGTATCCTAGAACAAAATTTCAAAGTTTCATAAAAATTAAATTTGAGGAAAATTTTGGCCTATCTATTGTGTATCACCTTAATATTGCTATCTAACATTTATACAAATCTTTAATCCACGTTTACAAAATCTAATTTGATTTTGACCGAGTTTTTGAAACTTATTTAACTGTACCCCCAAAAATGAAATAGAAAAACTCATCATAATCTCCTATGCCTCCTTCGCGCATCTGTAACAGCTTTACTTCTCCTGTGGGCAGAGTTCATTGGTGCATTCAATTATCTCGCAGTATACAAGGTAGCCCTTATCTAGACTAAACTGGGTATTACAACGCCTTGTTATCTATTGTCCCACAGATGTTCCACTGGAAACAAAAGTGCACTGTACGTGTTAATGTGAATGTTTACCAGAAAATCTACAGATACTCTGGCTATATTGAGCGGGGGTAAACATGCTGAAGAATTAGGCATACAACGCATGAGGAAGTGAGAGGAACACTAACGTAAAGTTGACAAACTCGCAAACCAAACTTGCTCAATTTCTTTATTTTCTAAATCTGGGTCGAATGTGGCGATTATGATTACCTACTGTATTGATTACTGTTTCTGTGGTGTTGACAGGGCTATTACGCAGGTGGCAGGATTGATAGCCCCATCTTGACCTGGCATCGTTACGCGCTGACGTTCCTCGGAAATCGGTCGCAGCACTGTATACTACAATTCAGTTACCATTGATGCGTACAAAGTTAAACTCTCCACAATGCATGGAAGAGCATTCGGAACAATATTTACAATATTTTGAGTCGCCCGCGTGGCGCAGTGGTGAGAGCATCTGCTCTAGAGTCGCGGAGTTAGGAGTTGATCCTTACGTCGCGGGTTCGAATCCCACCGGTCCTTCGGATGCGACTGTATAAACCTAGGTCCCGTGTCGCAGTAGGCACGAAAAAGATCACTCACTGCTAAATAACCCAAAGTGCCTAGCAAAGAGCAAGAGCCACCTAGGGCCTTTTTTGGCCCTGTGAATTTCTGAAAATTCAAAACTGTATAGTTTTAGTCAACAGGCAATAAATAATACTTGAGCACTTGGTGAATGAATATCTACTGAAAATGACATAATTTTCTTTCTAGTCAATGCATTATGACGTCATGAATTGCGTCATTATTCACATATCCTGAATATTTCTTCAAAAATAGCCAAATTATGATGCCATTTTTCAATATTTCATATACAGCACAACCTCCGATCCAAAATGTGTAAATATATTATAAAAGAACTGTTAATGAAGATTGTAAAACATATTTTAATTTTTGGATCGAGGGGTGTGCTCATATTTTAATTCTTTGCTGAAGGTTCTCAAAAACACCTGTTTTCTGCGAAATTCAATAACATTGCAATTTCAAACACCCTGTTTTTCAATGCCTGGACTTTTCAAAGGAATTCTGTTGTATAAACTGAAAGCACTAAGTCTCTACTTTATAATAATGTTGAAAATGGTACACGGGGTATTAGTCAATAAATTGGTATATTTACAGGGCCATTTTATGCGTAAAGTGAACCTAGCTCTTTGCAGCTCTCCACCGGCAAGTGGTGGCGTCTCCATATTAAAAATTCTCGAGAGGGACGTTAAACAATAAACAAACAATACTGTGACCATTTGAGTGAAAACATTTAAGGGGGGATTGCTTTCTAATTTAATTTTTTTCTCTAAAGGTATATCAAACTTCATAACATTGTAATGTATCTCCTCGAGTTTTGGATAAACTTTTTTCAGAATGTTGCCATGGAAACAAAAATCAGTAAATGTCTGAAAATTTATAAAGTGATTTTTTAAGGAAAAATCGCTAAATTTGCGTCTCGCTAAAAAAAATTCCACTCATACAGTATGCATGTGGCCAAGGGAGATGTATTTTTAAACTCTTAATATCATACAAACAAGCAATTACACCGAATGAAAATAAACATTTCGAAGTCTATATAAGGCAATTTATTATCTCCACAATTCTATACAAATATAGCCTTTTGGTGAGGTAAATCCCTTGGTATATAGACCTTAGAGAACGCATAACGACCGAGCACGAAGTGCGAGATCTATATGTTTTTTTCTTAGATCTATATATGTAGGGGTTGTACCGAATGAAAAGGCTATATTTGTTTTATTATTTTTTTATCAGTTAATAAGAAATGTCTTTAAAAAAAATCCATGTTTCTATTACTCAATACTTTCTCAATAGGGCATTGTTATGTCACATGCATTATGACGTCACAGAAGCTACATGTTTTTAGAAACATTCAGTTTATAAAGACTATTGTGACGTCAGCACTATTGTTACTTCACAGAAGAACATTTCCAATTTAAGAAACAGCAGCTTTATTAACCTTTATTGAAGCTTAAGGTGTTATATCAATCTGATTTGAGAGATAACTTTCCAAGGAAATTATTTCAAGAAATCCAACGAATTGTCTTACCAGAGTTTAATATGAGGACCATTTTATAGTCAACTCATTCAAATCCGAACTAAGTTACACATATCGATTTCTATTTTCTATATTTTTATTAATTACTCATAATAGTTTACCTAAAACACTTATACCCAGTTTCCTTAAACTGTTAAAATTGAGATTTTTTATTCTAATTTTAAAAGCAACGCTTCGTTATGTTTTCTAATGTGAATTAGATAGGTATGATAGTAAATATTATTTTCATATATACCTCATATTTTTAATTTTTGGGTGAGATAAAAAATTATTGATCTTTCTTTTCACCATATCGAATTTTCTTCATATCATGATTCGACATAATATTCATTTCTGAAAAAGTAAGCAACGCTTCATACTTCAAACTATTTTCCATTTGAATCTAATGCTATTGTTGTTGATGAAAATCAATGTTGGGAATTTTTTTTAAAAAATGGTGAAATTTGGAGCAGAGGGATATTTCATCTTAAAATAGAAACAACCAGTTTATAAGACTTTTTATACTTGATCATGTGATCTAGTTTGAGCCAATCAGATAGCCGGCAACAATAGGGAAAACAATATTTCTAAATATTACACATCGTAAAGAACAGGATTTACATGTTTTGACAGTTAATAAAGAACAACTATCATGCAGCAGAAAACATTATATTCCACCAACCTGCAAATAGCCCTAGCAATGTCCCACTTTGATAGGATGTGTCCTTACATGTTCTTTGTAATCGTTCTCTAAAGATTCCAAGGGAGATTGTGTCAATTAAAAACGATGTATTTAAGTGTTTTTATACTTTTATACATGGATTCATTTGTGTGATTTTTAAGACCTTTGATAGTATTTTAGAGTTAAGATAGGTACACATAAGTAAATATGTATTACATTTATATGACAGTGCTATTTGTCATTCATAAAACAAAACCGTCTTTTAATTAAGTTTTTTTTAATTCTTCATTTTTTCTATAATTCAAAGTTAAGATTATTTGAAAAGAAAGTCATAATTGCATGTACGTCTTTAAATTTAAAAAATCACACATTATCTATTTCATTATATTTGACGGACTTCAGAATAGATTATTAGAATATCTTTTCGAAGAAACTTGGATTAAAACATTAAAAATCACTGGTTTTGTCGATAAAACGTGTTTTTTAGGTTTCCAAAGATGTGGAAAATTAATCTCAATGCTTCGGTTAGCCCATTCCATTGGTCTAAGAATAAGAATTGTATATGCTTTGTATTGTCATAATGGCTGCATTGAATATTATAAACATTCAATGCAGCCGTTATGACAATTCAGGTGTACGCATATGTTATTAATATTTACCGAAGTCTGATTTTTTAATGATTTTTGATATCTGCGTTTCGGTAAGATTTGGTAAGATTTTATGAGATTCGGTAGACTTCGTAAGATTTCACGATCATCCTCTGACTATTTCTAATGATTCCCCGATTCAGATATAGATGCGTAGTGCAAATCAGATGGAAAGAAACCCAAAATCAAATAGAAGAAAAAAGGCATTCTGCCTCATCCAATTTAAGAAAGAATAGGTACCCAGTATTTTTCATGATTCATCCAAAAATACTTGATCAATGAATAAGGATTACTTTGGATTCCCTTTTTTTCAAATTAGAAAGCTTGTAGAAGAAAAATTTCTCATTCGACGTTTCTCAAGGAAATGAAAAGATGTTTCTCTTTAATGACAACCTTTGGAAATGGTCAGATCTTTGTAGTCCATCAAAGTCCCCATATGTAATTATTGTAGATGTGTAAACTATTAACTACAACATCATTCTCGAAATTAAAACGAAAAAAATGTGTAGGAAATTTCCGTCAAAATGATGTTAACTTAACCACTTTACAATCAACAATGCATTTTCCACCTTCCAACAATTTGAAGATTTTAAATGACTTTATTCCATAGATATATTTTAAAGGTCCAAATTAATATTTATTTTAAGGACATTGTTGAATCATTGCAATCAAATCAGAAGAATTAGAAATTAGGCTTTTTTCATGTTTCTCGAAATAAACAGATCCTAAGGGTCACATCTCACATGAGTGACTATTCCTTTCACTACATTATTTTCCTCTACATTTGTCAAACAATTTCTTGACTTCACATGCAAACTTGTTGTCTAAGAATGCATAAATGAATGGATTTGTGATATAGTTTATTATGTACATTCGAGACACAAACGAAATGCCAGCTCTTGCAGAATCCAAGAGTTCCTCCAAGAATTTTGGATTCCTAGCTTCTAGCAGCATAATGATAACCTTTGGGATAAAACAGATGAGAAAAATGACAGTTATGAGCATAAACATCAGGGTCAACTTGTACACAACTCTCCGATTTTGTTTGTTCTTTCGTTGTATAACACTTGACTTACTATCATGCTGATTTGTGTTTCCTCTGTATGTCGTTATTTTAATAGAAATTTTCTGTGTAGTCTTTGCAGATGTTTCAGGAGAATTCATACCGGATAATCTCGTGTCGTCTGTTTCACTGGAATTGTAACCAGTTACTTTAATGCTGTCCAATTGAATGGGATGGTTTTTATTATCTTTTGCACTTAAGGGATCATCTTGGGTTGAGATCTTTTTCTGAAATTGATCCACGTCGGTAATTTCCGCCTCTGAACAACTTTTATTTTTGTCATTGGTGATGTTGAAATGTTGCAGAATAGTATATCCTATTTTGGAATATAGAATAAGTAGAGAAAGCATTACAGTGACTGTTGCTATAACAACAAAGGTTCCAAATATCAAAGACAATGTTTTATTGGCCGATTTTAACCTGCTGCATCGCCATCCTATAATCCCTTCTTTGGTATTTGGAAAGGGCACTAGTCCAAAAAAATAGATCATAGGTAAAGATGATGTAAGTGCTGTTATCAAACTCAAACACATTGCAAATTGTTTCCACTTCAATGTCATTTGTTTTCCAAACGGCTTGCGGATCTTGAGATATCTGTGTACAGCAATGATTAAAAGGAAGAGGCCTGATGTAAAGGTGAGAAACATTGTGAGAAAATGCACAGCTTTACACGCATAAATGTTGTAAAATGTCGCCTGCATCATGTTGAGAGCAATTGCGGATGAAGAGGAAACAAGACAACCGCAAAGGTCCACAACTGCAAGGAACGGAATAAAATACCTCTCCTCTTTGTTGCCTTTCATCATAAAACCGTAGATAATAATAACTGTAGAATTGCCCAACAGTCCCATTATCATATATAAAGACAATATTACATCATTCAAGATTAAACTTTCTGTAAGTTCTCTATTCCACTTTTCCAATTTCTCCGAAATATACGTGGCGTTATCCATAGTTTCTTCTTAGTGCTTTTTTGTTTTCTTGGCTCTTTGAACAGTGGAAGTGATCTGCACGTTGTACGTTTTCCTACAGAGACAAATCTTGGTCGCTAAAAAAATCTTTATCAACTAAAATGCATAACGCAATAACACATCAAAAGTTACATCGGTATATGAAACGCACAAAATACTTCCTTTTCATTTACTTTTTACCAGCAGCTTTATAGACTAGCTTTTACTTTTTAAGCATTTTTAAAGTACCTTGTCAGCGAGCGAAAGAGATTTTTACTTGAAGATTAAAATGAAAGAGGACACATTACTATAAAATAATATGTTATGGAAAAATTATAACCGACTCATAAAGAGACAAGAACTTTTATTGTTTCCATCAGATGAAAATACTCACTTTGCTAATTCGCTTTTTTGTGAACTTTCATTTTATTCTTTTAGATTTGACTAATCAAAAACATGCTAAACATTGATTCTTTTGAACTAAAGTTAATAAAATTCGTTGGTTTTGTGGTGTTTTCTGAACTTTTATTGTTTCCATCAGATGAAAATACTCACTTTGCTAATTCGCTTTTTTGTGAACTTTCATTTTATTCTTTTAGATTTGACTAATCAAAAACATGCTAAACATTGATTCTTTTGAACTAAAGTTAATAAAATTCGTTGGTTTTGTGGTGTTTTCTGTATATCAACAATCAATTTAATCATATCAGAAATATCCAAATTTTGATGAAGGAGGAGCAAATAAGATCTTATTGAATAGAAGGAAAGTAAATAGAATTATATTTAAAACATAACAATAACAAATTATAACAATAATCTTTTTTCAAGCACAAAAACTAATGATTTCGTGATTGTGATTTCACATCGCATGCCTGTATATTATATGTACCTTTTTTTTTTTTATCCCTTTGAGTATATATACAGTGTAGATTCAACGCTCTATGAACGTGACAATGACCTTGTTAGCAAACGTAACCTATCATTTTGTCGTATTTTGTTTGACATGTTTCATACCAATTGTTGGGCCTTTGTTTTATACTAAATTTGACTACGGAATATTCCGTCTACCTGATATATACATAGGACTCACAGCGGGTGTGACCGGTCGACATGGGATGCTTACTCCTCCTACAACCTGACCCAACCTTTGGAATTCTGGGAGTTCGCGTTTTATGCTCTGTGCACATATTCGTATTGTTTGTAGGTTTTTTAAGATCGATCACTGTTCGTTATCTTCACATTTTTCATGACTGCATCCTACATTTTCAGCATAAAACAGTGAGACTGATAGTACATCAACAGCAGTTACTTCTCACTCATATCGTCTACTGTTTATCCATGTACATGCTAATGTTTCTGTTGAATTCTGAATATTGACTCAACATCCATTTACTTGTGTACTTGTAAAGGTCTAAATTTAAGGCTCTTCACCAGTATATGGTGACGTCTCTGTATGAGTAAAAAATTCTCGAACAGGACGTAAAACAACATACAATCAATCAATCAGGCCTGTGTCTGCAGCGACATGGGTATTCGGTTTATAGGGTGTCAATCAACCCGTAGTGGGATTCGAAGTCGCGAATTAAGAATCAACTTGTTCTGCGACTCCACAAAATAAGAAGTTCTAACCACTGCTGAACGCAGCTGACTGACCTCAAACCTTATTACATAAATACTTTGGGTGGGGTTTTAAAAATCCATTATCCAAATTATTTTTGTTTGCCCTCATATCCCCAGTTACATTCATTTTAATCTTTTTAAAAATTTAATTTAAAAAAGATTGATTGTATGTTGTTCAACATCCAATTCGAGAATTTTTCACTCCTAAGAGACGTCACTTGCATTAGGTGGAGTGCGTCAAATTTGACCTATGCATGGAGTTTGCGGCCGTAGCAGTGAGGGGTCTTTATTGTGCCAACGACTACCGTGTCATGGGAACTTGGTTTTTAAGGTCTCATCCGAAAGACCAATGACTTTCACTTCTAATACCGTGCCAATCGAAGGTATAGTTACAACCTATGTAAAACGTCTCAGGTTTGACTCGGTATCGGGAACGAGAATAGAACCCGATGCCTTCCGATCACGAAGCAAACTCCCTACCACTATATTAAGATAAATTATGATTAATTTATGTTTTTAAATATTTTAACTGGCTTTTTGAATACTGATATTTTTCAAACGTTTCAAAATTCGTCAAATGTCTTTTAGATAATTTCTATAATGAAATAATTTGAAAGGGATATTTGTCATCTGCAGAATGATAAGTAATACAATGTGTAAAGAGGAATTAAATAAATCGCCAGTTTCAAATTTCCTCTGTGTAATTGTTTATAAGATTTTTTGCAAGCAATACAATGTAATTTTTTTTGGAAAAAATGGGAAAAAAATGCTTCCTTGATCGTTTTGAAAATTGCATGCCTTGAAATTGAACAATTTATATACAGCCAAACCTGTATTAAGCGACCTTTCAATGGGAATTATATGACAGATACTCTCTTAAAGAAGGAAATCATATTCTTGCAACTTCGAAATACAGGCATAAGTCCTAAATAGTAAATCATGTATTTGTTTTTCTGTTGCCCATCCTTCATCATTGTTTTGAATCTTGTCATTTTTCTTGATAAATAAAATATATTCATAGAATGTTGACATTTCAGTTTTGAAAGAAAAACCAAAACATTTCACACTTTAATGATAATGTTAATGATTAAAAACTACTCATGACAAGATATTGCCCAAAAGAGGAAAACAAAACACTACAATAATAAAAAGGAAAACGGTAGAATTTTTTCAAGCACAAAGGTTCACAAATTTTACACACATCACCAAATTCATTTCAGAGTTAATCTTAAGTTACATTTAATATGTTTCTTATTTTGGTAAGTTTTTATTTGATACCAAATCAATCACTGTGAAATAGTTTATTTAGGAGTATAATTTTGAAAACATGTTTCTGCAAATCAGGGTAATAGGCAAAAACCAAGCATTTTAAATAATTTTAATATCAAAAGCAGACCTCTAGGTCGGTAAATTCAGGTCCTGACTGATTTAGGACGCTAAACGATGGTCGCTTGTCGCATTAGACATTGAGTCGCTGAAAGCAGGTAAATATAAAAAAAAATCTTTGGAGGAAATTTAACGGTCGCATATGACAGCAGGTCACTAAATACAGGTGGTCGGTATGACAGGTTTGAATGTATGCATTTATGATATATGCCAGATAACTCCTCAGCAAAGTTTATGACAGTGTTTTTCCAGAACTTTTGACAATACAATAAACAGCTGATTATATCTAATTGTCGCTTGCATATAAAGTAATACAAGAACATTTTATTTTTCGTGACTGTATGACTATCTGCATATAACAAGCACTTTGTATACACACAGCTACTCTAACCTTTGGTTCTATCACAATATAAAGGTGATGGACTACGTAGTTTTGTCCATTTCCAAAAGGTTTTCTGAAAATCAAATACTGCATCTCACTTATGTTCAGAAATATCCGAAAAATATTTTCTTACACAGTTTTACTTATTTCAGAAAAAAAAAGAATTCTGAGTTATCTTGATTGCTTTATCTATTTTTATTTTTAATTTGAATGAATCATTTAAATCATTTTTAAATATCTTTGAATAGAATGGAGCTTAGACAGATTTCACTTCTTTCTTTTTCATTTGAAGTATGTTACACGATATTTTAAAGATTGAAACATGGATCTATTTAAAAATGCCAATAACTATGATTTAAGAATTCACATCAAAGCACACTTCTTCAATCAACTTGAAGTAACTATTAATCATTTACCACGCATAAAATGTATTGCTTTATTGAATACGAGTTAGTGTACCTATAAGAAGTTTCTTTGGTCAAGGAATTTATTATTAAAAATATTTCATTGTTATTTACACAAACAACTAGGGATTAGAAAGCATAAGTGTTAACAATAAAATGCATATATACAACTTATTACTGTAGATCACCAAATTTTTGCTACACCTTATTTTCACGAGATGGCCATTTAATAATTATAAGCGAGACATAATTCTATATATTCTTTAGTTATAGAAATTTACGAGAGAATTAAATTTTAGCGAGCAGACAATCTCGCGTATTTACTCAAAATAAAGTTCTCGCGAATAAAAAGTGATTTACACTATTAAGGAAGACATGACAAGAAGGATGCTCATGAAGTTATATTTAAAAACCCTTATCAAAGTTTTAAAGTACACACATAAATTGGTATAAAAAGCTCCATAAAAGTTTTTTCAAAAAATAAAACGGAGGTGGTTAATTCTTTTTAAGATTATAGGAATTTAATACCGATTTCAAACATCAATGTTAATTCATTTTGTTTATTCACTCATAATTGCCTAAAATAAATATAAATTGTAGATTTAAGTTGAATAAGTTCCAAAAGCAAAATTAAGTCGACTTTCCCTACATCTTTGAAAAAAAAAACAATGAAAAAATAATGTACCTTTTGGGAGCAGTGATATTAACAGCAGTCTCACAGGAGTGAATATACCAAAATACAACAGCACATTGTATAATTCTTTTCTCTATTTGAATCATTGAGAATCATGAACTTAGACCTTTTTGAAATGTAAAATCAAACATATGATGAAATGTACAATAGGTATAAAAGCTTACTATGGAAAACAAGGCAATTGTTTGAATAAGAAGAATAAATAAATATGAACCTAACTTTTATTTAATACCTGAAATAATTCATTCACTTCAAAATGCAACATGACAAATTTCCCTAATTAATCTTGTTAAGTGCTTTTACCTACAAATTTTAAACAATTTCTTGACTTCTTTCGCGAACTTGTTGTCTAGGAATGCATAAATGAATGGATTTGTGATATTATTTATAATATACATTCGGTACACAAACAAAACGCCAGCTCTTGCAGAATCTGAGAGTTCCTCCCAGAATTTTGGATTTCTAGCTTCAAGCATGATAATAATAACCTTTGGAATATAACAGATAAGGAATATGACGGTAATTAGCATAAACATCAGGGTAAATTTGTGCACAACTGTCCGGTTGTGTTTTTGCTTTCGTCGTCTTACTTTTGTCTTATTATAATTGACGTTTCCTTCAAGTGTCGGTCTTTGATCAGAACCTTTCTTTGTTGTCTTTGATGATGTTTGAGAAGAATAGGCACCGGATAATCTCGTGTTGTCTGTTTCCATAACATAGCAACCGGATAAATCTGTAGTGTCGGTCTGAATGGAATAATTTTTATTTTCTTCTTCACTTAGTGGGTCTTTGTGACTAGAAATTCTTCTCTGAAACTGATCGACGTTGGCCGAATTTTCTGCCTCTAAACGACTTTTATTTTTGTTAATAGTCTTGGTATTTCTGAAATGTATAAGAATAATATACCCTATTTTGGAATACAGAGTAACTAGTGAGAGAATTATTATGATTGTCGCAATAACTAGGAAGCCTCCAAAAATTAAGGAGAATGTTTTATTGGCAGTCTTTGACCTGCTGCATCGTAATCCATCAATTCCTTCTTCCATATTTGGAAAGGGCACTAGTCCATAAAAATAAATCATAGGTAAAGATAATATCAGTGCTGTTATCATACTCAAGCACATTGCAAATTGTTTCCACTTTAATGTCATTTGTTTCCCAAACGGTTTGCAGACCTTGCGATATCTGTGTACAGCAATTATCAAAAGAAATAACACTGAACTAAAAGTGAAAAACGGTACAAGAAATTGCAGAGCTTTACATGCAAAAATGTTGTCAAACGTCGCCTGCAACATGTTGAGAGCAATTCCGAAAGAAGCGCAAACAAGACAAGCACAAAGATCCACAGCTGAAAGGAACGGAATAAAATACCTCTCTTCTTTGTCGCCTTTCATTATAAAACCGTAGATAATGATAACTGTAGAATTTCCCAGGAGCCCTACTATTATATATAGAGACAAAATCACGTTATTCAGGATTAAACTTTCTGCTAGCTCTCTATTCCACGTTTCCAATTTCTCCGAAATATACGTTACGTTATCCATATTTTTTGTATCTTTTGTACCACTCTATTCTGTTACACTTTTAAAAATTCTTTAATAGTGTATATCGATGAACAGAACTGCACTGTATACCTTTCCAACAGTGACAAATTTTATCCCGTTGAAAAAAAAACTTATTAAAATTGAAATACATAAACCAATAAGGTGTTCAGGGTTACATTGATTTATCAAAAACATAAACTCTTCCTTTTCATTTACCTTTACTACATCAATTCATCAAACGCATAAAAACTTCCTCTTCATTTACCTATTTACCATTTACAACATCCATTTATCAAACGCATATAAAAACTTCCTTTTCCTTTTACTTCTCACTATCGGCTTAATTTTCTAGCCTGTCCAGCTATTAGTTAGCCTTTGCTTAAGATCTTATCAGCAAAAAAGATTTTCACTTGTAGCTTAATTTCAAAGGAAAAACCAGTACCAGTAATATTTGAAAGAGGATCAAGTTCCCAACTCTTTATGAGACAACAAACTGTAATATTTTATTGATTTTTATTGCACATAAAAAGAAACTAATAAGAATTTATCTATTAAGATATAAGTCGAAGTATTCAAAACCTCTATCGTGTCGAATTAATCAAAATGCAAATTATGCATCATATTTGTGTAAAGTCTTTCAATGTATGTGTTATAACTTTAAATGAACACGCTAAACATTGATTCCTTTAAACTCAACTTGATAAAATCACGTGTTCACAGGAGATTTTAAAAGTACTGCTAGATTTATAGTCATTAGTAATTTCATCACGTTCTTAGATATTAAAACAAAAATCTGCTCAATCATCAAATAGTTTCAATGTCTGTTACAAGAAAATTAAAGTAAACTGGATCCTATCAGAAACTTTATAACAAAAAGATTGATACAAGGAAAGTGAATGGAATAATATCCGAATCATGATTACTTTTAAATATCAAGTACAAAGTTAAGGATTTCGTGATCCGTGTCCTACTTAAGAACTTACAAACTCTGATTTTCATATTCAACAAATCAAAATATATTTCATAATAAGCAAATGTGTCTATTTTTGCATCATATTTGTTTTAAACCTCTAATTGCTGTTTTACTTCTCATGGAATGAGGGCTTTAAAAATATTGTATAATCATTACTTCTACTTTATAATTAAACGAAGAAAATATTTAACTATCGCTTCTCTAGGCAAATTTGCTCTCTGTTGTCCTAAATTTTACATTTAGAATGTCCATTATCATCAAATGTAATCAAATGTTGATTCATGATTCAACCTTTTTTCCCTACGAATCACGACGTCTTGCTTACTGTTGATGCATGTAAGTAACGTCCTAAATCGATAGATGTGGGATATATCATTGTTGTCTTCTCAGAAGTATTGTCAATGATGCAATTCCATAATCTACCTCTTTCAAAATAATCGTAATTGCATTTCAAACCCCTACTACTAATATTTACATATAAAAACATCAAATTTTCCACTGTAAACTGTATTGGAATTGTGTGTGTGTGTGTGTGTGTGTGTGAGGGTGTGTGAGGGTGTGCGTGTGAGTGTGTGTGTGTGTGTGTGTGTGTGTGTGTGTGTGTGTGGAGGGGGGTTATACAATTTACCTATAATATATATGTCCGGCGAGTTTACAAAGATATAGTACAGTTCTGTTAAATGCCTCTGTTTTATTTTCATATTTTTTGAAAGAAGATACATGTACTGGTATCTAGCAGTTTAAACCGGTTGCGGTAGTCTAGTGGTAGGATGATGTTAGGTTCGTGATCGAGAGGTTCCGGGTTTGATTATCGTTTCCGGCACCGCGTCATCCTGTTCCTTCGTCAAGCCCCCGGCACTAGAAGTGAAAGTCGCGTGACTTTCGGATGAAATCTAAAAAAACCGAGGTAGGCGTTGGCACGATAAATATCCCTCACTGCTACTTCCGTAAGCGCCTTGCATAGGTCAAAATTTGTGGCACTTCACATAAAGCAGGTGACGTCTATATATGGGTGAAAATTGCTCGAATACGAATACATACAATCAATCAATTAATCGAGTAATAACAAACTCAGAGATTCTTTGTATATTCGTGAACACCACTAGAATTCTAATCATTTTTCGGGACTAACTTTGAGTACATTTGTCATAAAGAAAGATAGCCCATTTACATGTAAAGAATTTCATTTTTCACACACCACAGTTTGTTTGTGCAAAAGATGTATTTTTATAGTATACCAGTGAAATGTGTATGTAAAGGCTTTGTCACTTATTTTTATGCAAGACTGATATTTCTAATTTTGCAAGTTAAAAAGTACCAAACGAGTAGTTGGAAAATCCGTAGACAATTCAGGGTGGAAATAATAGCTAACAATGTGTATAGTAAGCGTCCGTTAACATTCGATCTAATGACGATTGTATTTGCAAACAAGGTCATTGTATCGTCCATAGAATCATTTAACTGTATTTATTATTTTTTGGCATGAATGCAGAAATATTATTATATGTACTATATATACGAGGATTAATTCAAAAGTTATGTCATATCTAATAAAATATTGTAAAACCTTTAAAAATCGAAATTAATTAAAACAAAATTTTTAAATACTTATACTTCAATTTTCTTTTTTACGTTGCCTTAAAATTTTATTAAGATATATGCAATACTTTTTCAATAAATAAATAAATAAATAAAATAATCACAATGTTAGGTTTAGTCTAATGCCGCAGTGCAAATTGTTGCAAAACAACGTCGTTATAACGCTGCTTTTAGGCATTTATTTCTGGGTCATCCATAAATCTTTTTTTATTTCTCACATATGAGTGTTGTCTATAAAGTTCTTGGACAATAATGTTTTTGTCAAATTGAATGGTGCTAGATATACTTCTTGTATACCAAAATATTTGGTATCAACATCCAAATCATAATAATTTAGTTTTGGTTGTTTGAACTTATTATTTTTTGAGAAAAAAAATTGCGGTCTTTAAAAGGTTGCAGATAGGTATGAAGCTGAATGATCCAAAAACTTGTACATGAAAAGAAAAACTTTCTTGCTGTGGCCTTCAATTCGACATTCATATCTATCGACGACGTATTATCAATTGAAAATTAGTTACTTTCATTCATATGTTGATTTGATATATCCCAGTGAGCTTGAAATAAAAGACACCACAGAGTCTGAGACATCTGTTTCATATTTTGATGTTTTACTAGAGAAGGGAGTTGATGGAAGGCTGACTACTAAACTCTATAATTAAACATGATGACTTCAACTTTTCTATCGTAAAATTCCTTTATTTATGTTGCAACATACCATTATCATTGGCAAATGGAGTTTATGCCTTCCAGTTGATTCGATACGCAAGAGCATGTTCTACGTACGAACAATTTCTATAAAGATGGCTGCCGACAAATTAATTGATGATATCAAAAATCTCAGTTTAAGTCAACATTTTGGAAATTCTAAGGTCAATACAATGATGTTTGCAATTACATTCTATCGTTAGATCGAATTGTGACAGGCGTTTTCAATACAAATTACTAGGCCATTTTCACACTGAATTGTCTACGGATTCCTCCGTTTACCCGATGATGACAAAGGACACACGGTGGGTGTGACGGTCGACAGGGGAAGATTACTTGTCCATGTCACTTGATCGCACCTCTGTTTTCAGAAATCCGTGTTTGCCTTGCTTACAATTTGTATCGTTTGATTGGACTTTTGAACATGATTACTCATCATTATCTTATATAAACTGATATAAACATTTTTAAAGCACAGATTTATCAAAGTAATAAAATATGCTCTACAATAAATAATAACAGATTTCACTGTAGTATGTCATGTGTTTTTGTCACGAATGATTTTCGCTGATTGCATCATTGATTGCCGTATTGGATACGGAATTTATGTCAGAAGTGCAAAAAAGGGTTTCTGATAATGTTTTTTCACCCGTAAATAGTTCGTTCTAGTAGGTTTCGTCATTTTGATTTCGATACTAGAATGACATAGACATGCAAAGAGTTAAACGTCTACTATCTAACTCGTCTAAGAAATAGACATGTTTTAAAGGAAAATGTAAAGGTAGCTAGAGTTAATTTGTGAAACTGTAATTCACTTTGATAAAATTTACCTAAATTGGACGTCTTGAAATTGATAATAAATCTAACAGTGCCTTTATCTTACCTACATATGTTACATACGTCAAGTGAGCCTTATTTTTAGTTCTTATGCATGAATTTTGTCATCGTAATATGATTTTAAAACCTTTATCATCTTGTGGACTATTTCTTTAAAAAAGAAGTCTTTGGGTTATTTTAATTTAATATTAAAAGTTTTACCAGTGACCAAGCTGGATAAAAATAAGTTCCACCTATCCTAACCTACCTATCCTAACATTCGAATTTGCAAAGGTGTGAACGCTGTAAGTATAAGTACAGTAATTATGTTTCTGAATGAAACCTTTCCCATTGGCCAAATAATCCTTTTCTTAATAAATAATTTCCTTATTCCTTTTTGCATTTCTATATCATCCTGCACGAAGGGGGAAATATTGTGTTTTTCTTACATATAATTTTCTGCGTGGCAATTCTCGCAGATTTTGTGGACAATCTTAATGAAATTTCACAGTTTAATAATTACCAAGTCTAGTTAAAGTGCAATATTAAAATTTTCAAAGTGATCATTTTTGTCAAGGAAACAGGGGAAATACGAAAACTTTTTATATCTTTTTCTCAATAACTGACCAGCAAAAGGAATAGGTTGGACATTTATTTTTTTTTCATGGAAACAATGAAGGGAGGATCGTCTCTGTAGTTTGACTTTTCCTCTAAATTAAAGATATTTCAAACTGCATAACATTGATGTTTAAGTATCTACTTATGTTTGGGGTAAAATACTTTCAAAATACCTGCTGTTGCCATTGAAACAAAATCGTTTAATTTTTGAAAATTTGAAATTTTGCAAAATTTTAAAATCGTAGCTTCTTACTGTCCTTTCAACTCAATATGGCACTGCTACGGAAAATTCGGGGTGACATATGTCATTGTTCGCAATGGCAAAGTTTCTTGTCTCTATTTTCTTTACATTTAATCACCAGAAACAGATTAGGAAATCAATAAGAACTGTATTATTCCCATATGGCAAACAATAAAATAACTGATCAAATAAGCCAATATGGAGTCAGAAATATTTTAAATTGAGTGTTTTAGATGAATACACAAAAATCATGACGATTTCCAAAAGTTTATGAAAATTAACATATAGAACACTCTTTGAAGAATTAATAAATGAACGACAAATAGCCAATTCCAGGCTTCATTCATCTTGTTTAGGTTTATTGTTTAGGTTTAGATTCATGACATTATTAGCAAAAAATAATTTGAATAAAGATATAATTTTTAACATTTTAACATTACTCTGTTGACTATTGCATTTTTTTTTCAATTTAACAAATCACCTTAAACAGGTGGTGACGTCTCTATATGAGTGAAAATTTCTCAAATGGGACGTTAAACGACATACCATGAATCAATCAATCAATTTAACAAATCATTTTTTATATTTAGTAAAACATGCCAAATATTACTGCAGAATAAGTTATGACTGTGTTTTCCCAAATATTTGACAACAAAGTGGGAAAATCACATGTCTCTCAGATTGAGATGGCACATTGTAATCTATATCTGGTAAAGCCCATCCCTTTGGGTGTATTGCAATTCACTTTGAAAGAGGAAATGTTTGATTTCAGTGAATGGTTCTTTAAAACCATTTTCTTAATGATAATTACTAAAGAAGTTATATATGAAATAAATATCCTTTGGTAAGATAACAGTAGGAAGATCCCGCAAGGAACACACAAGAGATGGAAAATTATACAAATCAAGCTTTGGACGAAATAGTGCACTAGCTACAATTTTAATTCCCAATAATGTAATTCTGACTATGTATATGATTACAGGCTTTTGGGGGAATTCCACTATTTCCACTCACTTTTCTCGCCATTAAACTTGTTTGATGTTTGAAACTTGTATATCCTGTATAAATTTGAGGATATATAAGAATGGTGCTAAGGGGAATATAGTATGCTACTACGATCTAAAGTACTACCAATCGGTAACAAGAGTCTAATGGTACCTCGTTTGCTTCGTGATCGAGAAGCCCGGGTTCGATTTTCCTTTGCCGCGCCGCGTCTAGCCTAAGATGTAAACATAGGTTGTAACTGTTCCATTGCCAAGCGACCTGCTATTGGAAATATAAGTCACAGGTCTTTCGGATGAGACCTTAAAAACCAAGGTTCCTTGACATGGTAGGTGTTGGCACGATCAAGTCCCACTGCACAATGGCCCTGAGTGCCGAGAATAGGTCTTAATTTGAAGCCCTTCACCGTTATTTGGTAACGTCTTAATATGAGTGAAAAATTCTCGAATGGGACGTAAAACAACATAAATCAATCAATCAATCAATTTCAAGTACTACCACTAAGTATCTGTAATAGACCACGCAGTTTTGCATTTTAAAGGTTTTTTTCTGAAAAACAAAAAAAAGTCCTCTCGGGTTGTTCAATAATATCGGTTGAAATATTTTTAACTCTCTTTCACATATTCGAAAAAAAGGAAGAAATAGAAGATATCTTTATTGTTTTTGAAGTACATGTATATGCTAATGTTCAATTTGGATGAATCATAGTATGTTTAACTATAGGGAATCTGAATATCACGAACAGTAATCATGCTCAAAAGTCCATTAGAAGAATACAAATTGTGAGCAGAGACAACACGGACCTCTGAAAACATCAGGGATGGGATTGGGTGCCATGAAGGAGGAAACATCCCTTGTCGACCGTCACACCATCCGTGGTTCCGTTAAACGGGGAAATCTGTAGTCAATTTAGTATAAAAATAATGGCCTAATAATTTGTATGAAACTCTAATTCTACATATGACATTCTTTTCCTTTACTATGTAACATTTTACGAATTTTAGTAACAGTTAATTCTTCTCATCTACAAATTTTAAACAACTTCTGGACTTCTTTTGAGAACTTGTTGTCTAGGAATGAATAAATGAATGGATTTGTGATATTATTTATAATGTACATTCGGTACGCAAATGAAGCGCCAGCTCTTGCAGAATCTGAGAGTTCTTCCCAAAATTTTGGATTCCTAGCCTCTAACAGCATAATCATTACCTTTGGGATAAAACAGATGAGAAAAATGACGGTTATGAGCATAAACATTAGGGTAAACTTGTGCACTACTGTTCGGTTTTGCTTCTGCTTTCGCAATATTACTCTTGAATTTGCATCTTTCTTTGTCGTCTTTGTGGATGCTTGAGGATACGCACTGGATGACTCCATGTTGTCTGTTTTAATAGAATAGTTGCTGGATAGTTTTGTGCTGTCCGTTTTAAGGGAACATTTTTTATTTTCTTCTTCATTAAGTGAACCATCGTGGCTCGACATTCTTTTCCTAAACTGTTCTTTATTAATGGGATTTTCTGCCTTCTGCCTTTCGGTCTCAGTTTTGTTGAAATGCCGAAAAATAGTATATCCTATTTTGGAATACAGAATAACTAGAGAGAAAATTATTGTGATAATTGCAATGAGAAGGAAACCTCCAAACGTCAAGGACAATGTTTTGTCGGCAGATTTTGACCTGCTGCATCTCCATCCAATAATTCCTTCTTCAATATTTGGAAAGGGCACTATCCCAAAAAAATAAATCATAGGCAAAGAAAACATTAACGCTGTTATCAAACTCAAGCACATTGCAAATTGTTTCCACTTTAATGTCATTTGTTTTCCAAACGGCCTGCAGACCTTGAGATATCTGTTCACTGCAATTATCAAAAGAAATAACACTGAACTAAGAGTGAAGAACGGTACAAGGAATTGTAGAGTTTTACATGCCAAATTATTGTAAAATGTCGCCTGCATCATGTTAAGAGCAATTCCAGATGATGAGGAAACAAGACAAGCACAAAGATCCACAATTGCAAGGAACGGAATAAAATACCTCTCTTCTTTGTTGCTTTTCATCATAAAACTGTAGATGATTATAACCGTGGAATTTCCTAAAAGTCCTGCTATTATATACAGAGACAAAATCACATTATTCAAGATTAAACTTTCTACCAGCTCTCTATTCCACCTTTCCAATTTCTCCGAAATATAGGTGTCGTTATCCATACCTTATATGTACTTTCTAAAAGTATCTTTACTTTTTGTTCGAAAGTTACTTTCTTGACACTTCGTTAGCATTTGGCATAAAATATAACAGCACCTTTTCCTTCTGAGACGGATACGAAAAAATTGTAAATATTCAACGTCTTTCCTTTGAGTAAATTAACAGTGCATGGACAGTCAACTCTACTTCAGCAAAGCAAAGAATAAATACAGTATAAAACAGATGTAAAAGTAATGTTTCCTTCTTATATTTAAAAAAAGCGGGTTTATTACCTTGCTTTTCAGTTTATTGGAGACCCAAATAATAATGCAGATTCATTTTACAACACAGATATTAATCTTATGTGCAAATGAAGTATTCAGTATAATCTTATATTCAGTATGATCTTTTATAAAGTAGTATTATTGTCAAATTTTCTGTTTCTTTAACTGTTAACTTTCACGCTTTTTGAATGTAAAAAGTCAGTTAAGAGAGGGAAAATGTGCAGAAATTGAACAAATACAATCTAAAAAATACAATGACCCTGTTTGCAAATACACACTGTCGGTAACTCGAATGTTGTCTGACGTCTTTTATACAAACTGTTAGGACATTAGGTTTAAACAGAATTATCTTCTGAAAATCTCCGTTACAAGAGGCACACTGCTGGTGTGAGCGGTCGACAGGGGATGCGTACTCCTCAATGGCACCTGATCCTGCCTCTGACGGTTTCAAGGTTTACTCTGCTCACAATTTGTATCATTTAATGGGAATTTTGAACACGATTACTGTTCGTTATCTTCACATCTCATCAAAACTTAAAAACTTACATAACACAAACGAGAATCTCAATATGTTATAATGGTAATATCTCTCTCTCTTTCTCTCTCTCTCGGTGTGCGTGTGTGTGAGTGAGTGAGGGTGTTTGTGTGTTCATGTCCTAACCCAAATTTACTATTTTACTATAGTTAACTATAGTTTACTATAAAAAAAATATAACGATCTGAAATTCATAGTAAAAACACTTTAGTAATAACTTTGATTTAATATAGTGAAAACGTTGATACTGTAGTAAACTAAATAGTTTTTCGTTAGGGTGGGCTCTTACGCAGTTTAAACAGTTTCTTAATTTGCTCTGAAAATTTTTTGTCTAAAAAGGCATATATAAATGGATTTGTGACATTGTTTAATATGTAAATCCTGTAAACAAACGACACTGCAGATCTGCCGGCTTCGGAAAATCCCTCCCAAAATTTTGTATTATTCGCCTCTAGAAGCATGATAATAACTTTAGGGATATAACAAATAAGAAATATGACCGTAATCAGCATGAACATTAATGTAAATCTATGAACAGTTCTCCGATTTCTTCTACGCTTTGTACTCGATGAAAGTGGAAGATGTTTTAATCTCTGGTTGGTATTAGTTGGTATGACTTTCCCCTTAGTTGGAATGGAAGCTTGAGGGAGATGTGAAGATGATAATACGGTACTATCCGTCTCAACAGAATGAATATCCTGTTCAGATTCAGCAATAGCATCGCCACTGGAAAATCTACTTCGAGGTTGCTCAGTTGTACTGTTGTTGCCAACTGCTTTCTTATACTTAAAGCGTTTAACTATGGTAAATCCTATTTTAGAATATAAACAAGTTAGCACTACAATAATTGTAATTGCAGTAAGAACTAGAACACCTCCATACAATAAAGACCCTGTCTTGTTGGTAGTACTCAGTCTCCCACATCGGCGTCCGTAGATCCTCATTTCGTCATCTTTTACGAAAGATTCTGATCCATAAAAATACGTCATAGGCCCAGCTAAAGGAAATGCTACTGCCAAACATAAAACCAACGCAAGCCGTTTCCACTTTAGTGTCATTTGTTTTCCAAGAGGTTTGCAGACCTTTAGATATCTGTGAACAGCAATGATTATAAGGAGGAATACTGATATCAAAGTGGTAGAGCCTGCAAAAAACCACCAAGTTTTACACAAAGGTTCGTTATCAAATGTCGCCTGCATCATATTTTGAGCGATTCCGAATGAAGCACAAACGAGTGAGGCACACAGATCAGCAGTGGCCAGAAATGGAATGAAATATCTTTCTTCTTTGTTACCCTTTATTTTCAGTCCATATATAAAAATCACAGTGGAATTCCCCAAAAAGCCTGCAATCATATACAGAGACAGAATAACATTATTGGGAATTAAAATTGTAGCTAGTGCACTATTCCACACCCTTAATTCATCCAAAGATTGGTTTGTATAATTTTCCATTTCTTGTGTGTTCCTTACGGGATCTTCCTACTGTTATCTTACCTAAGGATATTTATTTCATATATAACGTGTTTATAAATATCTTTCAAGGTAAGGAAACATAATTTAAAAATTCCTCTTGGCCTAAAAGCTCACCTGTATCACCTTGCTGTGATAAAAAAAAATGAAAGGCATTGTATTTGCACTTTATAAGGATGTTCTTGCATGGGACGTAACACTAAATTCATTCAATCAATCAATCATAAAGATGCTTTATTATTTAATTGATAAATACGATTTGAAATTCTTCACACTTCTTTCTCCATGCATGTATTTCGTATTATTAATTAGGAATACTGTCAGCTTTATATTCTTGTCACAACGGAAATGTCTCAGGAAAAATAAAATAATTGAACAGTTGACTTCGTCTCCATGAAAGATTTTTAATTATTACCTAACCTACTATATAAATTATAATTAGGCATTTTGAACTGTTTCCTGATTCATTTTAACGTTTCTGCACATCATGAAACAGTCAAAACTGTTTACCCGGTCACAGAATGAACTGTTGCATGGCTGAACTGATCCATTATGACGTCATAATCAATTTCTCGTACTTTACAGCTATAATATTGAATTATTTATCAGTTGAAGCATTTTCATGGCAATAAATTCAAAACTATTATTTGAAGAGTAATCCTGATACCCATATAAATATATATTCAATTTAATATCATTTGAAAAAAGAGGCCAAGAACACCTTTTCTGATGGTAATTCTTGGAAAAATGAAGGCTCCTGTCACTCATTATAGATCGTTGCCTTAAACGTATGACTCAGCGTGTTATATTCAAACCTTTAAGTCATCATTATGTTGTTTACTAAACAATACATGTATACATCAATTTATTAGTGCATGAAAATACTAAGAAAAAATACAAATTTTGTCGATGTGTTTATATCATTACTTTAAGAAATTATATAGTAAGTTAGGTAATAAAACACTTATTTAATGACAACTCGGGAAACAGTCAAACTGTTGTCCCTCGATAATGGGGAAGACCTGGGAAACTGTTGCCCTCGGCCTTCGGCCTCGGGCAACAGTTTCCCAGGTCTTCCCCATTACCTCGGGACAACAGTTTGACTGTTCCCCTCGTAGTCATGAAATAAGTGTATAATGTTAAATGTAATAATGCAATATTCTTGCTTTGATATTACATATTTTAACAACAGGTGATAGTGCTTAGATCACTATTGTGATCCCTCGCCAATCATAATGTCGAAGATGTGAAAACAGATCAACATAAATATGGAGATTTAATTAGGTTTTTTCTTAAAAGATTCTACTTTAACAAGACAGTAAGTACGCTTTATTATGTGTACATCAATTTAAAAAAAAAATTGAATTACATTTGAATGTTACCTGTCCCTTATCTTTTAGTGTTGTATAAAACTGTTTTATGGACATAGGATAGTTCCCATTTAATCGATAATGTGACTTGATTTTAAATTTCCTTGTTTTTGTATGCAGCCTATCATTGTGTTAATCTTTACTGAACTTGTAACGATACAAATATAAACAAACCTTCTTGTCTCAAACGTGAAAAAAATAAAACATTTTTCTTCATTCTTTATTTTTTCATTAGCAATGCATACTTTTAATATGTAAATGTGAGCTTGCTCTAAAGTCAATAAAAACAATACAAACACTACAAATTGTTAGCATTGTCAAAACATGGACCTATGAAAACAGAGGTAGAATCAGGTACCATAAAGATGTAATCATTCCCCGTCGACAGGTCACATCAACCGTCTGCCCCTTGTCATGATCGGGTAAACGGAAAAATTCAAATCAGTGTGCAAATTAGTGCCTCACGTTTTGTATAAAAGACGTCTGTCAACACTCAACCTAAGGACAGATTTTATTTGCTAACGAGTCATCGTATTGATCATAGAATTAATTTTACCGTACTTTTTCTATTGGCATGAAAGCAGGAATATTATTATAAGATTCCTTATATAACTGCTTAAACCCTTGAAATAATTTAAAAACAAATTTGCAAACAAGGCCATTGTATCGACCATAGAATTTGTAAAATGTTGACATAAAACGAGTTTGTTGACATCCTTGTATCATCTGTTAAAATCTGTATTTTATATTTCTGTATCCTTGTTGATTTTTTTTGTGTGGTCAAAAAATCATAAACAACTGGATAACAGATAACAATAAAACTACTAAGATTGTTTGGGAATATATATATATATACGTTTGATATTTCGGCATGGCTTAATTAAATACCACAAAATTATTAAATCACTAAGCAATGTATTTTCTTTAAAATTCTACACATAATATATAAACGACTTTATAAGCACCAAATGTTTATAAAACAGAATTCAATTTAAGAATAAAGATGTTCAGCTTTGATACAAATATCTAGGGAATTTCTTTGGACAATCGTTATAAGTTCTTTATAACTGAGTTTCGGTGTATTCGTATTTATTCTCAAAGAAGTCTTGTCGATAAATCACTAGTCACTGTCTTTAAAGTAATATTGTTTTGGATAATACAGAAGTAACTGTATTCTCTCTTTTATTGTATTAGTAATAGATAAATAACGAGATGGTGTTGAATAGTTTAGAAAAAAAAAAAATTTCCTCCGAGACCCGAAGCAGAAAGTGTTTCTCAAAGTGAATTGTGTCATTCCGAATTTGTTAAATGCAGTTGAATACGTATTGTATAGTTTTATTGTTGACATTGGACACCTGAACTATTTTTCAGCAGAAGATAGAGAGTGATGTTTTTAAGGTTCAAAGAGAAAATGTTATTCAAGTGTAAAAGCTTAAAGCAATTTGTTTTTTTTTTCTTCGAATTCATCAAAGTTCAAAACAGGACAATTAATTTTGTGTTGAAATACATAGATACGTATTGGATATATAGTCTTACCATCATACTAATTGCCCATAATTGAGTACACCTTTCCGTAGACAACAAGAGGAATACTGGATACTTTTCTACATGGTTGCAATGGCAATGTAGATAGTGTTGGGAATTTTTTCAATTCCAATAAAGCAATGTGAACGTGAAGGAACCTTTTACAATACACAGAGACAGAAGCGTAGTCATGGACATCGGTCTTACAATAAACCTACTATACACGATGTCCCTTTTTCTATCCACTGCTACCTTATGTAAATAAACAGTTTGGTTTTCACCACATCCGTACCGAATTTTACTCTGTCCCTTTGAAAGTTCTAAATGATCTATTTGTAAAAGCCAAGAAAGATTCATATTTGGATTTTTCGACACCAGAATACATACTGGGATCTGTGATTATGGATATTGCTAATCACAGGCTTTTTAAACCGCCAATTTTTTTTTACGGAAAATAATACTCCTCAAGTAACCCGTCTGTTTCTTAAACTAAAATCTCAACAAAGGAATTGACGCAGTAAATACTAGCAACATTCTTATTCACAAAAGGGTCCAGTCTTGTATTCTACCATATTTGAAGTAGAAGTCCACATCTTGTATTTCTTACAAATATTAAGCGACTTTTACTTCCAAACTATTTTTAATTACAAAAAATCTACAGTACCTAGATATAGAACATTTGAAACATAATCCTTCTACGTGTTCATGTTCTTCTCCCTACAACTATAATCCTGCTGGACACGTCATTACTTTTGACGTGAATATAGTAAATAATGAAGACCTCAGATCACGCATTTTAAAAATCAGAAGTTAAGGGAACCCCGATCATTCAACTGGCGTGAAAATTTCATAAATATTATAAATTCTCTTGAAGATTAAGCCAGGCGATGGGCAAAACATAAAATAGAAGACATTGGCACTTTTTTAGGATAGATTAATTGTTAGATTTTGAAATCTAGCATTAGATGATTGAGGAGCAGTACGAAAACCATCTATCCTTCTGTCTTCAGTAATTCAGAAGTGAAAAAAGAATTAGAAAAATTACACGATCAGTATGTATTGGTGCTAGCAAAGCAGATAGCAACATTGTCTTTGTTTGTAAGCCTCACTATTATAATTGATTTTTAATGGAACTTGGATTTAATTCTGCAAGAGGTAATCCAACTAATATTCAAAGTACCCATTCTAAAGAAGCAATTTTTCATAATCAAATGTCAGTTTGAAATATTTTTTTTTAATATTCCCAACAATCAAACTGAATTTGAATTACCATACCTATACTGGATTCCAGAACTATATAAAATCCTTACAAACAGAGATGCATAGTGGGTTCTAGTAAATGTTCTACCAATCCTCTTTCTTATTCCTCGCCAAAATATTAACAGCAGTTGAGAAACTTCAGGAGTAATGTATAAAAACTTATTTGAGAAGTGGTGTTAATCAGATGTGGAAAGTTAAAAACTCTATGGAACTTTTAGAAAATTCGAAATTACAAAATTTTACCAAATCAATATCATAAAAACGTACGACTTTTCAAAACTACATACAACCATTCCTCACGATAAATTTAAGTCCAGACTCTTTGACACCACAGACAACTGCTTTTTCAATAAAAGTTGAACTCATAAATTTACATACCTTGTCATTGGTCATCTGCAAAATTATTTTTAAAAAATGTTTTTTGTCTTCCAACAAGACAAATGGGTTGAAATTCCCATGGGTACCAATTGCACCCCATTATTAGCAGACCTATTTTTATATTCATATGAAGCAGAATTTATTCAAATACTTCTATGGCAGCCTTCAATGCGACATTACGATACATCGTATATATGGCGTTTTATTCAGAACATGCTGTTTCGTATCGAATCAGCTGGGAGACATTAACTGTATATACAGGTAATAATGGTATTTTGCTATATAAATAAGGGAGGTTGACGACAGTAAAGTTGAAGCGATCACGTTTATCATAAAATTTAGTATTTAGTTTGACATTAATATATTTTACTAGTAAAATATCCAAATATGAAACAGATGTCAGACTCTGTTTTGTCTTTTTTCGAGTTCAAAGGGATATATCGATTCAAC